AGAGAGAGAGAGAGAGACTTTTTTAACAAAAAAAAAAAAAATGTTAAAGTTGATTCGCAGGTGAATTAATGGTGTGGGTCGAGGAAACCCACGATACACGGCCAACGAAGGAGTTTCTCTTTCATTGGCCGTGCATGATAACGATATTGTAAAATATTTTGAGTTGAACTCTCGCAAGAGGTGTGGACAATTCCAAAATTCATTATTTAAAATGTTTAAGTCATGCCGTCTAAATTGACTTACCAATGCAAGGACCTTGGCAGTGATGGTAGGCTCATGTTGGCGTTTCTCAGAATCAAGCTCGCTTTCCGTGCCAGCTTCAAATTATGACTGAACCTTCCGTTTACCGGATGATGGTTTTTATAGGGAAAGATCGCAGTGCTGGACAGCGAGTATTCTCCACGTCTACAGTTCCACGTGCGAATAACCCGCGGTTGTAGTTCCACGCGATCGGCATGACGTCACACTACCTTTGGCAGCTCGGCTCTTTTCCTGACAAAATTTCATCATGCAAATTCAGGTTTTGGGGAGAGTTGACCCTTACAGAAAAAGGATAGTTACGAAGTTGCAAACGTTGATAGCTCTTTTCTGTAATTTTGTTTTCGATTTGTGTACCTACTTTGAAACATCCTCAACAATGTATTTACGGAGCCTCCTCTAGTATGTACAATACCGTAAGCGGGGGTAACTTTATTAATAATATAAATTAAAATAACATAACGTAATGCGGAATAATTGTCAAAAAGCGAAAATCGTATCTCGGGCGAATCGTATTCACTCAACGTTGCCTGCAATTCACAGCCAAATAAATTATTTTTACTCCTTTTTTGGAGTGGGATAAGATTTTTCGATATTCCATTGGCGCTGTCATAACTGTGAGACATACGTCCGAAAAATAAGTAATTGGTCTGAAATTTTCGTATGTGTGTGCTGAATCTTGGAGTTCTGAATGTAGGGTATATTTGTTTCTAACCTATATGCAATATTAAATACTTCGTTCAAAATAACTTGTGTAAGATATTGAATGCATTTCCAAATATCGCAACTTCATGGGGTAGAATTTGTGGCATGATTTTGCGGAAAATGAATAAAACTACATTAATATACTACTTTGGATTATTATTTTTTAATGAGACGCTTTGGAACAATGCCTAAAAATTATAAAAGGCCATTGGGTACGTGTCTTTATGATAAATTATTCTGAAGAAAAACTAAGTGCAATAAATGCTGTAAGGGAGAAGAAAAGGCCTCTTTGTAGACATTTAGAAGGTACATCACTGTTAAGTCATTTGCATTACAAATCATTGAGATCCAATAAAATTTGTTTCTACTGTGGTTTCCAATAGAAATAAACAAACATGATTAGCGGTAATATTGTATATTTGATTTAAATATACATAAAAATTACAAAAAAAAATCAATTTTCACAAAGTTACCATTGATGGAGAAACATTGTGACAACTTTCAAGAAAAATTTCATCTAATAGTTGAACTGAAACAATAAATTATTCCTCATAATTTATCCAGAAAAGATAAATCCTTCAAACTATAATAATAAGCATACTCCACACAACCTATTTTGGAGTTATTTGGAAAAAGACCTCAAGAAGTTACCCCAGCTAACAGTACAGTAATTATTTGTCTTGCCTATTCCATGATACCTAACATGTCTGTGTTGTAACATGATGTAAGTGTAAGTGAATATTTTTAACTTAAAAACATCAATTTTATTCCAAGTAAAGGTGTCACCTAATTGTGCTCAGAATACAATCAGAGTAAACTCGAAGTTGAGGTAGAATGAATCACAAAAAAGTGCAAATATGAAGATCTACTTAATACAATAATACTAAGCATTAAATTTTTAGAAACATTTTTAAAAGCAGACCTCTCAAATGCTGAAAGTAGTGAGAGACAAACATTGGTTAAAAGAACTTACTTCAGTGCAATAGGGACATGCGACTCCTTTTGATCCTAAATTGTCCACAATGCTTTCAAATATGCCTGAATATCTCACTCACTGTTTATTCCAAATACTTTAAGATTTGGAACCAAACCTTACCCAACAGAAGATAAGGATACATGACATGAATTGGAGATACTGAATGCTTGATCTATGAAAGCAGTTTTTTGCAGTTTTCAAATAAACATATAACAATGGCTTTATTGCAATTACAATAACTTTACATTAACTGATTTTGAAACAGTTCCAATAAATTACAGGTTTTACTCTACTTCATTTCTTAAAATTATCTTGGTCCACCCATTTTCTGTGCAGCTGCCATGGCATTTTCATTGGCAATTATCTGAAATTCTTGGAACCGCTGTGATACACGTTGGTTCATTTTCAAATACTTTTCCATGCAGTTCAAAGCACACTTTTCCTGAAATTCAAAATGCATTATTACCAAAATCAGTAGAAATATTCTTTAAGTTTAAACAAAATGTAAACATTTTATCTAAAGACAAAAATACCTCTTGGCTCTTCACTTCACGTGTTGTAAAGTCCCACGCACAGTCAATAAAACAATGTTCAGAGAGTTTGTTGTATGACATGAGAAAATCTTTGAACTGTAAGTACACAGAAATATTGAGCTCCTTTCGCTTTTACCGACTATAAAATATTGTGGTTTGAAAACAGGATTATTTGTTAATATTAAATTTAAAAAGAATGAAAATAGAATCTTACAGATTTAATTTGCTCTGCATCTACATTGTCTAAGCCTCGTTCCTGTAGGGTTGCTGCTGCTGACATTTTGATCTTCAAAGTAGTCTAAGAGCATATCAATCCATATAAGAAATTAAACTAGGAACTGAAATTGTAAGTATTTGTATTATTTAAATACTACAAATAAATAACTCTCAAAACAAATCACAAAAATTACTTTTTTATTTCTTTAAATCAACAGATACGATTTGAAACTATCAAGCAGACTTTGTACTTCGCTGAAATCGAAGGAACTCCTGAATACATTTTCATAAATCCTATCCTAAATTCCCATATATATCTTAAATTTATCATAAACTTCAATTGACTTGTATTCAATTGTCTTGGGATGCGCATATATCTCAACAAACAAATCACATTAATTTAAATATTAAGAAAGCGCCCTTATAACTTCACTCTTCCATCGTAGCATAATAATCTAAAAGTTTCGATGCATTTCATGTTTTAAAGTTAAAAGTGCATATTTACCTTTATGCTTTCGTCCTCAGTTTATTCTTAGTTTTCCAACTAAGCGACACCTGTAGAGTTTAGACAGCTCCAATAAATAACTTAAACAAACTTACCAATATTTATATTGTAACTCAGAGTTTAATGCCTTCACATATTCAGATTGAGCAAAACGTGCAGGAAACGTGAATATTTATATTATATGAATTTGTGATTGGCTTTGATAGTACTAGTACCAACTTTACAATCGGATGCTAGTGTGCCAGAATTAATAGATTATGGATAGGGAAGGAAAGGTAGATGTAAGTGTAAAATATATAAAATATTTTTCTTTTATATAAAGGTAAGAAACGCTAGGTTATAATGCTACAATAGGTGCAGTTTACATATAAACTGCAATGTTTACGTATGAACCTTATGAACGTAGATACAGAAGATACATGTGTTAAATTTCACAGTTCTTTAAACATTTAAAATTACATATTAACAATTTAATATAATAACATAAAAGACTTTCAGGGAATGAAACTACTAATCTCAGAGAGCAGTGTAGAATAAAAATGAAGATGAAGGTTTACCGGTGGGTTTACCAGTCTTACGGCGATGCATTCAGTTGTTGCAGCAGATAGTGAATGTCGTGGGTTTCGTTCAGATAATGTTGCCTATTCTGCTGACAAATGAATGTGGACCGATGTGTACGAATGGATAAATTTTCGCATGAGTGTTGATGTTGAAAAGTAGTTATAAAAGTTCATTAATGTATAACTAAGTTTTGAATTTTTTGTTCACAAACAGTATTAATTTGAATAATTTATAATGGAGTTTATTGTTGCAAGTGTTGATAATTTAAAATTCGACATTGAAATTGCTTTGGAAGAACAGTATGGGGCATTACCTTTACCTTTTGCAGGAATGGATAGTATGTTTTTATTAATTATGTATGACATGTACTATATATGTATGATGTACGACACTACAGTAAAAGTGAAATAAAATGTTGTTTTTTTATTTGTTTCAGAATCTATTGCTGCTGTTTGCGAATTTTATCCCAAAGGTTCTTGTACGAAGAGTGCTGCTTGTCCTTTTAGACATGTTCGTGGAGATAGGACCATTGTTTGTAAACACTGGCTTCGAGGCTTATGCAAGAAAGGAGACCAATGTGAATTTCTACATGAATATGACATGAGTAAAATGCCAGAATGTTATTTTTACTCAAGATTTAGTGAGTTCATTCATTGTACTGTTACATTTAGTACATTCTGTTTTGAATAAAGGAAGATTTATCAGCGTTTGATTTTTTCACTGTAGATGCTTGCCATAATAAGGAATGTCCATTTTTACACATCGACCCTGAAAGCAAAATTAAAGACTGTCCGTGGTATGACAGAGGATTTTGTAGACACGGTCCTAATTGTAGACATAGGCATGTTAGACGTGTATTATGTATGAACTACCTTGCTGGATTTTGTCTTGATGGGCCTGATTGCAAATTTATGCAGTAAGTATTGGTGGAAATATCTTCTCTATTTGTTTAATAGTGTATATCATTGTTTTGATCTCACATTCTTTAGCAAATGTGTCCTAAATTGGAGATGTTTTTTGTTATTGAGGAAGGAAGTTTGTGTCATGTGCATAAGTATTTTGGTTTTCAAGAAGTACAGTAAAACAAAATTATGAATAAAAATAACTCGCTGAATGTTTTGAATTATTGTTGAATTTTATGAAATTAGTTAATGTTTAGTTTGATTAGATAGAATTTAGGAAGATGAGAGAAAAGAAGAAAAAAATGTTATTTGGCCTCACAACTTGCATTTTACTTTCAATTTTTTGAACATTTACATTAACCTGACTTGTGTATTCTAATAGTCCAAGATTTGAACTCCCAGCAACTGATGTTCAACAAAAAGATGGCAAAAAATTAGTTATAACTTGTCATTATTGTGGAGAGACTGGACACAAAGCATTGTATTGTAATAAAATGCCACCAGAAATGAAAGAAGTGCAGTCAAAGCAAGAAGAATACAGGGTAGGTTTGTTATATGCAAATATTTCCGAACTGTAATTACACATATGTTGTGATTAATTCATTGCTTCATCGTTTGCAGGCTAAGAATTTGATGTATGTATCTAAAGATGGGGATGATTCTCTTCCGAAACCACCACAGAAACCGTTAGAAGAGGTTACGTGTTTTAAATGTGGTTGTAAAGGTCATTATGCAAACAAGTGTCCAAAGGGTCATTTAGCTTTCCTTAGTCAAAGTCAGAACTCTTCCACTGGTAAGAAATGAATATACTGTTCTTCATATTTTGATTCTTTATAATAGTAATGTGTAAGTAGCAATGTGAGGTATTAAGGTGTCCTTTTATAATTGCAGGGAAGAAAGATGATTGACATGTTCATATACAAGAGAATCAAGGAAAGCATATCATGCGTGAAAGTGATTCTATTGTTGCATATAATTTACAGACACCAACTACCTGTTGTGCTATGAGGCCATCAATGAGCGTTATGGTGAAGTACCTGTAATATTACTTGATACAGGGGTTGTATCATGTCCTGTGGGTATGAGATGTTCATAATTTACATTTGTATTGTACACAGATGTCTCTTATTTTATAGTGTAAACAGCTAATTGTGTAAATGGATAATATATTTTATGTTAGATTGAGTTAGCAAGTACTTTTATGTACATGTTTTTCAGTTTTAAAAATTACTTGCAAAACTCAGATGAATATTCTCATATTGAAATGTGTGTGTGATTAATGTCAAACTGAAATGTAACATTTTCTTATAAATTAATCACTCCAACTGTTCTTGTTCATTATTCTTGTGATTGATAATGAAATGCTTGATACATTTATTTTGTCCTTCACAATTACCATAAATTGCTACATGGTATGAACTGCACTAATGTCAGAAACAATTATTCTCTGCAGTTATGATACGGGAAGCATTTCAGGGGAACAGTGTTGGTTTCTCTGTTTGTTTATTTTTGAAATTGTTTGTAATTAATTTCTTTAAAATGAAAACCCCTCAGATGAAATTAAACATTTTAATTTTCAAAGGGAATAGTGCTTCAGACATGATATATACATGGTAATTTTTTTTAATACATTAAAATTTCAGAAAATATTTGCCTATGTGAGGGTAGAAGGGTTGCCCCTCACATTCACCTTTAATTCTCTGCAGGAAAACTAATTGAGATATTCACAATGTTATAAGTACGTCTGGGTTTAGTCTAGCCTTCAATCTAAATGTCAATGTTAAGAGATGATGTATTATTTGAGAAAATGTTGAGAGCATATTAATTAATTTCAATATGCATTTGTAACAAATTCCTAGTTCAACACACCTTTGCTCATCTCACAACATATGATTTCAATGGATGCAATTTGTGTTTAGGGACACCTGCATTTTTATCATGAAGTGTTTTCACTAGTTCATGATCTTCATATTTGAAAACAGAAGAACAGAAGTGAAATAATTGGAAGAGTGGGTGTTACATTGTATAGAGTTGTTGGAAGTTTTCAGTATTGAGATCATTCTTTCAATCCTAAGGTGATTCATGGTCATAGGACCAATAATATTGTAGGTGTTTTGAATGATTTGATGTATATTAAGGATATGGAGTGCTATCTTTCTCCCTCAGGAATGGGTCAGGCTTTGCTCCTGGACAGGCAAGAAAGGTATAAAATCATTACACCCACACATTTTCAATCAGGCAGAGAAATCTTATGGAAGCGTGGATGAATTTAAATATCATGTTTACCAGAAGGAAAAATAAAAACAGAAGTAAAATCTTCTCAAGCCTCTACTAATTAATATTGTTCTGTAAGGGGCATTTTTCAGAAGAGGAACGTGCAGATATGTTAAAGAGGATGACTACAATAATAAAACTATTGTATAGGACTCGTGTTTATACAAAACACATATTACCAAGTAAAGGTGAAAACAAACTGATGACCTGGCAAAAGGAAAATCCTAAGGTGTTCATTTGAATAAATATGTGAACATGATCATAGGTGAATAAAATACAATTTGGTGTTGACCAACTTGTACAATCTGATATAGTTTCTGAAATAAAGTTCCAAAGAATTATGTGATTAGGACACATTATGAAGGGGGACAAGAGTAGATAACAAAAATGGTATTTTCTATTGAATTAAAGGGAAGATAAAGACATGGAGGTGACTGGAAGATATGGAAAGGTTTTGACAGGACATTAGAGGTTCGGAGAAGGGCAAAGCATAGAAACAAATGTGCTATTGTGAAAGATGGCAAGGCTCACTGAAAGGACTGTAATGCAACAAAAGAATAATCTGTAATCTGTTACTGGGTACTTAGCTATTTTAGTCTTGACACTATAATATAATTATAACTATTTTATGTGATGATTATGTTCATGAATTAACCAAGGAGACCACCGTCTTGGTCTGATTTCTGCTTAATTATACTTTTTATCCAATCAACATGTAACGGAGTAAATTTAATTTATCCAAACCCTTAACATATTGGGAAGTAAATGTGAGATCATATTGATTAAGACAAGTCAATTTTTGATTAGAAAATGTTCAATGTAACAATGAATTATTAGTATCATTGCAAACTATTTAACTATTTATCAGCTGGAGCGGTATTAAATTTTGCAATTGACTTTGCTCTTCATTCCTGTTGCAACAGTCAATTTTTTTATGTTGTGAAACAAAAAGATGGTCAGTTTTTTCTTGGTGACACCTGAGGACTGAAGGTGTTTTACATTCTACTTATGATTTCATATTCATTACTAAAAGTTTACAATTTCGAAGAGCAGACAGACTTCACAAAACACTATTTTATCAAGAGAACACATATTTTACACAAAACTCATGTGTATACAAAACATATTTGCAGTAAAATACACTTTTTGTAAATTAGTGATAGGAAAACCTAGTACAAGCGTTTTTTGGTTCAGGAAGAATCTTCTACAGGAGGGTAGTAATTGAAAGTAACAATTATTCTAATACATTATACATTTATTATTAGTTATATTCATATGCATGTTTTTGATTTTTCAAGACAGCCACAAAATATGCATTTCATTGATATCTTCACTTACTTTTTGCAGCTAGTCCAATACCAACCAACATTGCTACAATTGTAAAACCTTGAGCAACTATACGTAAACGCATCATATATTGAGACATTTGACTTCGCCCATGCCTAAAACTCCAAAGTCCATATGTCAGAGCACCAAGTGTCACTGTACAACCTAAAATATAGGGGTTGTAATTAGTATAAACACACACAATCTAGACAAAACGCAATCACATTAAATCAAATACAAAGCCGAAGAGATGAGAAATGTGAAACACAAGAAAGTAATATCGAGTATTTTTAACTCACCAATAGGAACGAGCGGATTTTCTTTAAATTTGCGAATAAACTTCTGCTCTGTACTTTCCATTTTCATTTCGCTGTCTATGTCCTTCTTCAGTTGTAACCAGTCGAATTGCGACAAGTCAGTGGCTGAACTATCGTTCTTGTTCTCCATTGCAACCAATTAATAGTGCCAAAGTCTTAATTCGAATTATGGAATTCGTTTAGAAAAAGTTAAAAATTTAAATGTCCACAAGTGCATCCCGCGTGCAGCCGCTCATCTCTAGCCGAACAGCTGAGCGGAATCAAGTTGTGCAAATGGCCACTAGAAGCGCAGTATTCGCTTGTTCGGAAATATTATTCTAAAGCAATAAAACTCGTCTTCATTAAACATAAAATATTCGTAACAAAATGGTAATAAATAATAAAATATAATAATAGTAACTTCGATACAATTTTTATTCATACTATATATACTTATGTGACGACCCCACTCTGCAAGCCTCCACTTAGCCGTGATCGTCTAGTGGTTAGGACATTGCGTTGTGGCCGCAATAACCCAGGTTCGAATCCTGGTCACGGCAGTGAGAAATCACTGTCACGGCGGGGGCGTTTTTGCCATAATGCATAATCTGTTAGCTATTTTATAAGTAATATATTATCTTTTCCAACAAGAAATATTATTGTACATTGTCAAAGAACATCTTTCCTATTTCCTGCAATGGCGTGTATCAACAAGGGTCTTATTGGTGAATTGTGTGAACTTAACCATGTCAGAAAATGAAACAAATTGAGGTTCTGAACGCTTTGCTTTGTTCATGTTTGCTAAGAGCGCTATTTTATTATAATTGTTACATTTACAAATGTTAATGTAATTTTTTGTCTACATTAAAAAAATATTAACTGACACGGTTTTCGGGGAAGGAGAATGTATTTTCTCAAGAGGTCATCTCTGTACTTGCTTCAAGGACGAAGAGAACATGGGAAATCATAGCTTGGGCCATAAGCAGTCCTGGCAAGATTTGCGTTTTGCGCCCCCAAGACTTATTTTCTAGGAAGAAAAACAACACAATAATTTTGTAAGTCTAATTTACATTTAAGTTATGTGTAAATTTAGGCACAAAATTAGTTTTTACTTACTATTAGGGTAACAATACAACAGAAGTTCGTTCATTTAGGCATTATTTTATCTCTTACTATCGTTAGTTTTCTGTCTTTTTCTCCGGCCAGTTTATCAATAATATGATCTATATTAATACTTTTTGTAATGTCGTACTCAATCGATAGTATAACGAGATTACTGAAACGTTCTTTACAAATTTGCGATATTTTTTTTTTTAATTTCAGTTTGATAATGATCTTTCTCTGCTGGCAGAAGTCATAGGTAGCGTCCATGCAAGGCGTAGTGCAATTAGGATAACTGGTTACTAACTCATATTCTTCATGTCTAAGAAGTGCAATGTGATCTGCATTTTTTAGATCAGACAATAATGATTTTATTTGGTATTTGTAGCTTTCAATCTTTAAATACAACTCGTTGGAATTTAAATCATCTTTGTATTTTAATGCGAATTCAGCAACTGAAGTCCTGAAAGGAAATCAAAATCAAAAGCTACAACAGCTGAACTTTGAAATGTCCAATCCATTTGTTGAATAAGTGCATAGTGAAGCTGAATTTTAAACTATTGGAGTGGAGTCATTATGGGAAAAAACAAAACAATCAAAACATTTTTTTTCAATTTTAGAAAAATCAGGGATTTTAATGAATACGACACCTGCACCCTCTTAAGCATCCTGTACGATATTCCTGGTGAAAATTGAAAAAAAACATTTGGTGCCGTTTTTTAAGAAAAACAATGGCTTAAAGAAAATAAAAAATGCTTATGTTTATCGCAATATTAGGCAAAATAACACTCATATTTTCGAAAAATTGAACATATCCTTATTTGAAGATCTGTTTTTGATTACCACACTTCATTATGAAACAAAATTATCTTCATAATTGTAGTTGTCGTAAAATAAGTACCTGTTTGAAAATTTTCCCTAGTGACTTGATGCAAAGTACCCCTAAAATTAAAATATCGGTTTCGAATTCAAGGGGACGCGACATCAACCATCGATTGGGAAAGAGTTTGAAAAAAAATCGTCTGAACGGTTTAGCGGCTAGCATCGTTCTCACGCAGATGGACTTGCCGTCAATCGATATTTCTGTCAAGGACCCCAAACATGGATTTTGGCTCCAGCACGTGTTAGAGAATTGTTTTTCTAAATCGAGCAACTGGATTGCTCCTCGTTGTCGTCACCGGGTTCGGTAGTAAGAGCTTTTCTGCGACAAAATTATCAGCAGTACATACATTTGTCTGCTTGTTAATAATTAGAAAATTGTTTCCAATATGAGTATTCACAAATGTCTATTTTTTTAATAAAATCAAGTTCTTTGATTTAAGTCTTAAGCATTTTAATTGTCAATAGATATATAATCTATGAACTTATTTGTGACTTATTAATGGTTACTTTTAATCTAAAATTTTTTTTCGAAAATAAAACTTTTAAAACCGCCACTAACAGTCTTGCTGTAACGAAGCCCTTTGTGACGAAAATTTAATGATGGTCATAAATAAAATTGTTTTTAATTAGAGTTCGGTACAAATTTGAGCGTTAACTTAAGGGCGCCGTTCGTAAACAGTGTGGGCGCCTATCATAATCAAGTGCAAATTTATTTATGTGAGTTAGCGTCACGTGTTAATTTCGTGTGCCTGTTCCGCAGGATGTGGCCTGCAAAGTGCGCTCCTGGCAGCCGACGGCCTGGCCAGCCCCGACGCCGTCAACAGTCGATGGATCTGGAAATCTTGGAGCCACGATTATTGAAAAATCGTAATTACAGGTAACAATAAAAAGTTGTCAAAATTGCCATCACGATTCTATACATATATTTATAATACAAGGTCAAGATCAACATAACTTATCAAAATTGTCATCGCATATTAAAACGAAATTTGGTTCGTTCCAACGGTGGTTACCACTACAGCGGTAGAGAGAGAGGGAGAGAGAGAGAGAGAGAGGGAGAGAGAGAGAGAGAGAGAGAAAGGAAGAAAGAGAGAGAGTGTTTTATGTATTTTTTATTTTTTCTGTAACGTTGTTTCTTTTTGGTTAATAGTACCGTAAAGTGGTATTACTTTGTTACGGATTCTGGGGTGTTTTCTACCTCGTTAGTCAATTTTTATTTTCAGGTCAAAAGACTTGCAAAATGAAAGTCAACTCCTTTCCTAAACATATCTTTAAAAATAATGTAAATCTTTTATATTAATCAGCCCTCAGTTCCGCACTGGCTACGGATTGTTAATGACGTACAAATCTTCAATCTTGGAGTATAATATTTATCCGAGAGGGTTGATCGTCTCCAATGGTTTGGCGTAGCGCCCGTGGTATCCGTCGGATGTTATGACAGGCACGTTTCCGGGGAAAAGCGTGCTCTCCAAGTTGGTCACCACAAAATCGACCTCTATGTCGTCTGACCCGTTGAAACGCTAGTCGGTCAACAAGTTCTGCTGTGCAATGCTATCGTGAAATTAAGAAGTGTAAATTCGTCATTGCTGACTTCTGCCTTTTCGTCTAGCATCTCGTGTCGAGTCTTCTCGGACCGAAACTCCTTCGAGTCAAACGGTCCGAGGCCTGGACTGTATTACTTGATGGAGGTTTAGTCCGTGGACAGGAACCACATCCCTGGTTCAGAGGAAGACGTCCTACTGATGGACTTGGTAACTTCGCTAGATGATTGTGTCTCCGTACTCATTCTATGCTCATGTAACCTCACGTAAATTTCGTTCCACAAAGGAAGAAGTACCTCTGATTACTGGCTGTATGCGTTTCCTCACTCTAGCAAAGTTGCCGCAGTTCATGCGAACAGTGCAGAAAAGGGTATTAACAAGATCGCCTCCAGCGCACACAGCGACTGGACAACAGCTTCCGATGACATTTGCTTGTTGACGTGGGTTTTGAGGCAAGGTGTGGCACTGTTTGTTTGTTTTTTGGCTTTCTTGTTCTCAAGATTGGGGAACGAGGTCCGAAATACGAACTCAAAGTGCCACAAAATAGAACTGTTTTCTTACATAAGTTAGTTTGCTGTTGTATTGAAACGGGGCTAGCTTTACGGTTTCACCTCATCCTCTTCCCATCTATCGGCGCCTCAAACACCTGCCAGGTCCTCTGGCGGCCCCTTCCGCTCCTCTCAGGACATTGCCAGTATTTCCGCGTCCCCCGAATATCGCATAGACCAATCTCGGTCCTGAACGTTGACACATACTTGCCCTTGGCCCCATCTCGGTACCATTGTTCTCAGTTTAGGGATCAAATTTCTCAATTACACAGTGTCCTAGCAGGGCAAGAGATTATTTTTTCTCTTTTACCACTACATATATTACTCCGTTGATACGTAGTACGTATACGAGAAAGTAAAAGAAATGGTACCGTTCTTGATTAAAATCTTGTACGTTTTTAATCATCTCTTTTTCATTGAATCTTGCTGAAAAACTACATATATATTGAACACTGTGTATGATATCATTTAAACATTTAATTTTCAAGAATAAATTTCATTAAGAACAAAATATCAATCTTCAACAATCTTGATGCAGGAAAGAGTTCAAATTATTTTAAGCGTTTCTAGTATTAGTTTCTTATATACGCACGTATATACAAAGCAATATACATATGATTGGGAAAGAAACGTAATGCTTGGGACAAAATCTGCGGATTTTCGACAGAGAAATACGTATGTAAGAATAAAAAGTGTATGTCTTGTTCCGAAGTGTAGTAAATTACTTCCTCTAACACTTTGTCGTCAGAATTCACGATCTGTGGGTCCTTGATACCGAAAACCTTTATTGGCTCGTTTATTTATAATGTATAATTCACTATCTATTAAATGAATTTGGGAATCAATTGATTGAATAAAAGAGGTAGCTGTGTTACCCGCAACCGAGCCAGGAACCTCTCCTGCTAACACTTCGTTTACCTAATACCCTAATATCCTCGGAGCTGGAGACACGCGAGCCCCGAGAGGAGCTAATTGGAAGCAGGCAGCTCTATCTACCCACAAATCTGCGACGAGAGGCCTAGGAGCCGAGTACTGGAAGTGGGTCCGGGCGGAGTGGTTCCTGGAAGTTCTTCGCGTTGTGATTCCAAATTCTCGAGGCCGGTGCTGCGGTCCGCTCTAGCTTCCACGGAACCATCTTGTAGCGCGCATGCGCCTAAGTGCCGTCTGACCCGGATGAGCACGGACGAACGCCCTAGGGCTGCGTGTGCGGAGCGTTGTGTTGGGCTACTTGTCTGACAGACGTGAGGCTGAAACGGAAACAAGCCTTGGCGAGAAAAATACACCATCTCGTATTATGCCCAAACTTGTGTATCTGTGTGAGAACGCTCGCATGTTAAATTCCATCCTCTTCCCTGCCTTCCCTTTTCCATATTGAGAGGGGAAGTCGTTAACGAAACGTGTTTATTTGTTTGCAAAAACGAAAGGAAATTAGGCCATTCCCATAAGTGTGGTGCGCGTTTGCGGTCGTTCGATCGTCCCCCGCTGACTGGCGAGATGAGGCACCGTGCTCCGTCGGGAGCG